AGGGGGGGGGTTAAGAAGTCTGTTTATGGGTGAGTTAACATTCAGTTTTAGTTTGATTTTTACGCACTTGAAATGCAAATAGGTCATAAGGGTTGAAGATAAGAGGTGTTACTAAAGAGTAAATTACAAGGAAAAGAAGGAGGAGACGTAAAGACGATAGATGTTTGATAGGAAAAAGGAGCAAATCTCAATAGTGCACCCACCAAGCTCCTACAAGTTAATATTCAGCTATAGAAAAGAAAAAAAGACAGTCTAGAGTTTTTGCTTTCTTCCTGTATCCATTTTCTTTCTTTCTTTCTAGGCTTGTTCCGTCCATTGCAGGATGTAGCCCTCCAACATTTACCTCCACTCTGTTTTATCAGCTTTTTTCCTTGTCCAGGTTGCTCTTTGATGATGTTGTCCAGCCATCTTCTTTTTGGTCTACCTCGAGATCTTTTTCCTTTTCTTGGTCTCTATTCCGGAAATTTTTTTGTTTATCTGTTGTTAACCTTCATTCTGCCGATGTGACCAGCATATTTTTTCCATTGTTCACAGATCATCATAGAGGCCAAGACTGGTAAAGGAAATAAAGGAGATATTGCACTGGATGATCTAGAAGTGGTGTCACTCACGTGTTCAAGTAAGGAATATAAGAAACCCCCCCCCCCTTTTTTTTTCAAGAGGTTAATTAATGTTGCTAGCCTTCCTATTGTGTTGCCCTCCTCTTTAATAACCTAATAGTTTTGAAAAAGGCGTTAAACCCATATCATTTCACCATTTCACCTATTGTGTTGTATAAAAGTATTGGTATGGTCGTTAATCTTTTTTGTTTTATGAGATTGCTTTTTGTATGACTGAACATAATGAGTTGCCCTGAACACTCATGTCTTAGAGCAGTTTTATCAATTCTAAAAGTATTAGATGCCAATATTTGTGTTTCGTGCGCTCATATGACCTTACGCAGTTGCGAGTGCCGTAAAACCCCATACAAAATAAAAAAAAGATGCCAATGTTTGTGCAGCATGGGTCTATTTTGTAAGATTTCCCTTGATAAATGTGCTTAATAAATGGTTAATAAAACCAATGGGTGCTGGAAAATGTTTGTTGTAATGAGTACATAGGAAAGAATAAATGATTTGCTTTAGACTGCATTGTATTGCTAGTAATCTTTTATCTTCCAGCTTTTTTTTTATGTGAAAAGCAAACTGACAGTTATTTGAATGTGCTCTTTAAAACTTAAAACTAATTTAGTTAGAGTTTTACGGCGCTCACAGCTTCATAGGTCATATGAGCGTGCATGTTATTCTTCAAACATTGCGCTACAAGTGAATAAACTGTACACCTTTTTTTTGTCTGAAGTTTCCCCATCTTCTGCTGGACCCAACTCACAAAAATCGACCACCTTAACTACAGCTTCAACAGCTAGCACTGGACCACCATCAAACCCAAGTAAGTCTACCACTGATGATTTAACTCCTTGAGCTCTCTACTCCCCCCCCCAACCCCCCCT